GTGTTGGTCGCTCTGGCTGTGCTTCTTGAATGCACACGTTTGCATGCTGGCAATGCCGTCAATCTCGAAACGGCTCCATTTTGTGCTGTAGCTGCGCCTCATTTTTGCAGAGCCCTTGTCCAGCTGTAGACGAAGAACCATCTGCGCACAAAGTACACATCCAAGACCCCACTTTGGACGGCAGCGCTCCTCCAGCCAGACCGTACGAGACCCGTTCTCAGAATGAGAGCCGACCGACATTTGCCATGTCTTGCCACGAATACGAAACTTCTGCATTGCAGTCATTCCATCTTCGTCCTGGCGAGCTGCTTTCTTTCGGGGTACCTCAGAGACTGAGACCGAAACCTTCGGCCCAGACGTGGCTGCCCGAAGATCTGCAGCACGATGCCGGCGTGGCCTGTCCTTTAGCACGACACTGTCAGACAGTTTTTCTCGAGGTCGAACCACCATGGCTCGACCTAATCGCCGAAGTCCTCTAAGCCCATGAAAAAAACTTTGAAAACCTCCTCAGTCTCGCCCTAGTCCGCCGGCCTCGCCCGATCCCCTGAAACGAGGCCTCCTCCGAACCACAGCAGCAGCAAAGGAAGACAAGAGACCATGCTGCATGCTTTGAGAGACCATGCACTCAACGTTCTCCCAGATGTCATGTCTGAAAGTAGGTGCGCCAGCCGGTCCTTTACTTTTCCCCCTTTGGTCGGCGGCCACTGCAACAGACCAAGACTAATTAAATCAGACCAAGACCAAAATCAGACCAAGACCTGGAGTCCTGGTGTGAGTCCTGGTGAGAGACCAAGACAAAGTCCTGGACGGACCAAGACAAAGTCCTGGACAGAGTCTAATTATCGCCGTCTCAGCCCGATAGTAAGTCCTCCTCGGGCTCCACTTCCACTTGGAATATCTTCTCCAAGACCTTCTGCACCCACTTGACCTCGAAGGATTTTGACCTAGACGCGAGAGACCCACTGGGGTACCACCTCTGGAGACAGGACTGAGTCCTGTACAAGTATCGCTCCAAAAACTCTGGAAATGGCTCGCCAGGCAGCTCTTCCCGAAGACTGGTGGTGTAAGCTGTCCACCAAATAACCGTCATCTGACGGATCATTGCTGGCGGAAGACCGACCCGTCCTTTGATCAGGAGCATCTCTAGGTCGTCACGACCCCCTTCGAAAGACACGGCCATGACCTGCAGGCGCTTGTTCAGCGATAAGACCTGGCCTTGGCTGTAAGACCTGGCCTTGGCTACAAGACCTGGCCTTGGCTATAAGACCTGGCCTTGGCTGAAGAGACGGCTGCAGACATCATGTTGAAGTGTTTGCGGGATATCCCGTGTGTCTTGCCCCTACCAGCACAACAACTACTAGACAACAGAAACAGCTACTACGAATACCACCACTACTACTACTACTACTGCTGCTACTGCTACTGCTACTGCTACTGCTACTGCTGCTACTACTACTACTACTACGACTACTACTACTACTACTACTACTACTACTACTACTACTACTACTCCTACTACTACTACTCCTACTGCTGCTGCTGCTACTGCTACTCAATCAATGTGTTCACAGTCACATACTGCTACCACTACCGCTACCAAAACCAGAAAAGGAGCCGGAAAGCCAGTACGAAGACTATCAGTCTATCAGTAAGTGACCGAGTATTACCTATAAGTACTACCACTACTATACCTCCTCCTCCTCCTCCTCCTCGTATATACTAGTAACTACTGCAACTACTAGTATTACTGCTATTTACTGCTACTGCTACTACGATTGTGCATGACAACAACAACAACATCAAATACTGCCACTAATACTAATATTTCAGTACCATTTTTTCTACCGCTGCTATGATTACTTCTACCTTAGTGCACCTACTACTAAATACTACTATTCCTAATACTGCCAGTAATACAATTACTGGTACTCTTGCTTCCTGCTACACGAGGACTACTACTACTGTGCAGACCAAAATAAAAAGACCCCAAGACCTTTGCCGTGAATCCCAAACCCCGCATATCCAACGACCTGCGAAGAAGTTCAGACCTTCTGAAAGAACAAGCACAACCTTCCTAAACCCAAAGACCTGTGAACAAATCCAAAGCGGCTCCTAAGGACAGACATGACATGAACCTGGGATTGCTCACGAAACGAAGTCAATGATATGTTGAAGGTTGTTGTGGAAAGTTCGTTTGGTGACATCCCTCGAACATAGACAGCTATTGGCGAGTTGAGACCCACAGACCCTTTCAAACATATACAGCTATTGGCGAGTTGAGACCCACAGACCCTTTCAAACCTTTACAACTATTGGCGAGTTGAGACCCACAGACCCTTTCAAACATATACAACTATTGGCGAGTTGAGACCCACAGACCCTTTCAAGCATATACAACTATTGGCGAGTTGAGACCCACAGACCCTTTCAAACATATACAACTATTGGCGAGTTGTTGAAACCCACAGAGACCCCATGAAATAAAAAATGTTCCAAAGGTCTACTGTTACTACTACTGACCATGACGAGGACTACTAACTACGACTGCTTTAATTTCTTACTGCTACCTGGACGCCTACTACTGCTACTGCTGACTACGAATTTCCAAAACGAACAAGACACTTGCTGGCCTGGGTCCAGACCTCCCGGCAAAGAAGCTCACTGTTCTGGTTGCAGACCTCGGCTTTGGTGCTGATGCATTGCCTGCCTCCCTTCAATAATAATAATGTCTTGCAAATGTCAATCTAGACTGAGACCTCAGGTTCGATCCTTGACCGGAATGGACCCCACGACAAGAACGACTGTGTATGTATTACATATTATTATATATATATATACATATATGTATTAAATAAGTTATATATCTGCATATGTACGTATATACTTTTTATTTATTATCAAACCAAAGGCAAGCAGCTGCGCCTGCCCCGGCACGACATTGGCCAGTGACATTCTGACCTGGGCAACATGGCAGTCAGAGACTCAGACCCGTGAGCTCTTGGATCGAATAGGAAAATGCATACAATCGCAAAGCATACGTTGTTTTGCATGGGTCCTTCTCACTGGTCCATCAGACAATCGAATGAAGCTGTCAGTCTGCAGCGTGGTCCACCGAGACAGTCTGATAGCGCCCTAAGCCATTCCAATTAATATTATGCTTCAGCCCAGACCTGTCGCAGACATGTGCTTGGCCAGTGGTACCGTGCTGCTAAAGGAAAACTGAGGACTGTGTCCCAGTGGCACGCCAATCTTAGACCCAGCCTCGGTCCACCCGAGCAGGCTAGCGACGGATGCACACACTAGAAGGACCAAAAGATTGGAAAGCCCAAATGGCCAAAAGCTATCAATAATTGATGTCTCTGCCAGGTGGACCAGTCATTAAAAAGAGAACTTTGAGGAGACCAGACCTCCAGGGCTGCTCGTACATCGGTGCCCTCGGTGGCACACATCAAAATTTGCCTTGCAGACCAAAGACCACGAAGCAAGTTGCAAACACCGAAAGTGGATTGAAGTATAGTGTTTAAACATTGAAAGCCCAAATGATGGCCCGAAGCTATGAATCATTCTGCTGGGGGTGGCCCGGTCCGACAAGACCATGACCCTGCAGAGACCAGAGGCTAGAACGAGCACATGCGGCACACTTCCCGGCTGAGCAGTTAGATCTTGGGATAGCATCAAGACCTAAGACCTCACTCCGGCGGCGTGGCCGGATTAGCCTGATTCTTCCCAGACGAGACCGGGTTGGCCTCCGTCGGGAAATGGCTGTTGAGGAGACCTGCAAGGTCCTCCTGCCAGAGAGGGTGCTCTTTGCAACAGATGTGGCGGATGGCTTCTCGATCCGACAGTCTCTCAAGAAACTCCGTGTGCTGATCAGACAATGTTAGACCATGATACCTGATGTTTCTCGAGAGACAGGCCGCCATTAGGGCCGACGAAGGAGACAGGTCACAGACCATGGCGATCTGGTAATTGTCCAAGATGGCCTCGTAAAGCCCAGAGCACTTCGTCTCAGACCAGAACATCGGAACGTTCTCGCCGAAAGACCAGTCCTTGGGCCACCTGGGTTGCAAAGAAAGGAACACCAAAAGACTCGGGAGACCTTCCCCTTTCAGACCTCATCTCTCCTGTGATTCAGGCTGCCAGGTGACTTGTCTTCGTCCCTAGGCAAGTCCAAGCCCAAGACTTTGGCCTTGACCTTGAAGGGGACTCGCGGGAGACCCTCAGTCTCGGGGTACGGCACCTTGACATACGACGTGTAGGCCGTGCTGTCCTCGCCCTGGATCCTGTAGTCGTCCTGGGGCAAGTTAGTAATTAAATATCATAATTTAACCGAAGTAAGCTCAAACTCAACCGCAGCCCCATCCGGGTCCTCGCGGGCCTGAGACTGAAGACGGATCCGCTGTGGGCCCAAGATCATCACCGCGATTTCGTGGTTTTTCTGAGACCCGAAGACTCGTCTGGAATGTGTCTTGTGGAACTTTCCGGAATAGGTGATAGACAACTCGACCGTCTCCTTCGAGTCCGTGGTGTCCTCAATCCTGGGTATCTCAGACCAGGATCAGAATGCATTACATAACTACGAACTCCCAAGCACAAGCTGAAACATCAAGCCCTGACGGGGCCTGGAGAACTGACCCTTGTGAAAGTCACTGCCCTCACAACATCCCAGACCTCAAAGCCCTGGATGATATTTTTTCGTTGGTTTCACCTCCTAGAATGTGTCGTACAAACTTCCCCTTCAAAAGGCAGCCCCAACTACTGTGTTAAGTTCAAAACAGGAACAATCCTGCTTGCATGTTGTAAACATAGTATCAAAGGACCAACTAATACCAGGAGGCCAAAAGAAATGCCTTAGCCTTAATATATTCTGATTCTCCGAGGGACAACCTGCGGACGTCGCGAGACCTTCCGTCAAAGACCAGACTCATCTTGTTGCCCGAGACCTCACTTACAAAGGCCAGCTTGTCCTTGAAAAGGTCCAACATGGGGGAGGCCTTACACTACGCCGGTCCAGACCAGCCCTTTTCGCCCTCGAAGCAGAGGTCCGCAGCAAGATGGAAGAGCATAAACTTTTTGTTCATCTCCCCAGTGAAGGAGACACAAGGCGACGCTTTGTAGGCTGCATCCAGGGAAGACCGTTTCCAGTTCGTCAAAGACGAGTAAGAGACCAGACTCTTCCGGACTGTGCTGGCCCTGCTCCAGACCTCCTGGTCAGATTTTTAAAAAACTACTTAAAGATAACAGCCAAACAAAACTGCTCACATGCTGACGCACTAATTCCACACTCCTCGCGCTCTTGCTTCTTGAACATCTTCCTGAGATCGGCATCCTGCTCTGTGTCGTGCCCGATCTCCATCAGCTGCTGCCAGCTCATGGCTGGCGCTGGGGTGTCGCTTGCGACCTGTTCAAAGACCTTCATGGCCTCACGCAGTTCCTTGGCCACCTCCAAGTCCCCAGAGACCAATGCCTTGCTGATGTCGCTCTCAAGAGACAACTTTCTGAGGCTGCCTAGGTTGGAGGCTCTCTTCAATTCAAGTTGACAATGAACACAAACAATCCTGAGATTATCGTCATAAAAATGCCCGACTCAGTTGCTCATCAGCTGGCCGTCTGCCAGCGAAAAGGCCCAGTCCACCAAGGGGTCGAAGTTGGCCTTCTGTCCGGTGTATGTGACGTCTTTCAGCGATTCCTTGACCCGGTCCAAAGTCATGTGGGAGGCCTCGTCATAGGTAGTGGCCGGTGGGTCCTGAACAACTCAAAACCAACAATGAGGAAGACTGTCCTGCCTATCTGTCATAACATGAACTCGTTTTCACATGTAGCAGCCAGCCCTGAGCTCTGCACGCTTGCGAAAGACAAGTCCAGCTCCAAGCGGAACTTCTGCGGGTCCAGCAGTCTGCTCAAAGCCTCCTTGACCGATTTGGGGCAATCGTCCAGAAGCCCCAGACTCTGGTTCGCATTGAAAGCAACGCTAATCTGGGTCAGACAAAGCGAGACGATCGGCACATCATCCGCATTGGTGATGTTTTGTGCGTCCTTGCCCTCCTTGCCAGTGAGACCTTCGCCCGTTAGCTGGGAGGTCTTCAGGATCTCCAAGTCCAAGGCATTCGCGATCTGCGACAAGACCAGACTCAAGATATTGGCGGTGTTCTCCCCGGGAAGTCGGCTCGACGTGAGTCGGCTGATCATCAAAATGATCTTGTAGAGTTTGCCAACCTGCTCGGTCAAGACCGACGTCCCATACTTGGAAGACAGGTAGACCAGGGTTTGCCGTGCCTCTGGCGACATGTGCCGCTGAATGGATTCGGCTGCCACCAAGACATTCTTGTTGATTGCCCTGCCCTGGAACAAGACCCCGTCCTTCTTGAGACGGTCCAAGACATCCTGCTGTTTCTGCACTTTGTAAGACTTTGTCAAGACCACCAGCCTCTCGCAGAAAGCCATCAAGCTGTCGTTGCTGGCCTGCAAATTTCTCAGCGCTTCAGAGGAAGCAATGCATAGACGAGCAAGCTGGCCGTCCGAGTCCACCAGATGTATCTGAATGGTGGCTGTGAGACCGGCCTGCCAGAGACGAAGCAATCGATCATCAGCGCTTTCCTGGAGGGCCTCGTAGACCGAAAGCCACCAGGCATAGAGTGGCAAGTGGCCGCTGATGAGAGACAAACTCTGTGGAAAGTCCTTGACCTTGCCCAGCAATGGGTCAATGACCGAGACCATGCACTGAATCACATTCGGGTACAAGATGCGCCCATCGTGGTAGACATCACTGGCCTGAAACAGACTTTGCGCCTCGACCATCTGCGAATACGTGAAGTCCGAGGGCTTGATCACAGACCCATACTCCTGGGATTTGCCTTCCGGTGGAGCCGGAAAAGGAGACATCCACAAAATGGAGCCACCGGCCTCGTAGACCTTGGACCTCTGAAGGCTCCGAACACAGTTGCCACCGTTAAACATCTCCTTGTAAGAGTGGACCCTGGCCTTCTTTTGAGGGGATTCGCCCTGGCTGGCTGCTGGCAAAGTCAGCGGTGGAGCATGGCAGATGTCAGAGACCGTGCTCTTCAGCAAGTCCTTCTCAACCAGCCATGTCCTCAGACGGATCTTGACCTGCAGCAAAGGAGAGGTGCTGGAAAGGCTTGCTGCAAAGTTCATTGATTCTCTAAGGCGACCAACCCAATGCAGATTCTGGCAACAAGCCCAAGGCCTCAGGAACCAGAAGCTGCACAATCTGCAGAGCGGACACAGTGTGAGGTTTCGATACTGCGGAAGCCAGCTCAGCAGCCAAGTTCGGAGAAGGCATGGCTTAGACTGTCCGTGTCCAGACCAAACCAAGAAAGACTACTAACTGCTAGACCAAGACAAGAGCGTCCTTGAGCAGTAGTATTGCGAATCAATGGTTAAGTTCTGCTCGGCTGCAGCGTGCACTGCAACAGGGCCCCCCAAAACTGCACAGCTCTACGGCAGGCTCCAAGCACCTGCTGAGGCTCAGGCGATGCTGCAGCAGCCAGCACCCAGGTCCCCGGTAGCCTTTGGCAGGGATAGGCTCCAGTCAAGGCTTCTGGCAGCTTGCCAGGCTCGGAATGCTTCCAGTTAAGCATTTTAGAAGCCAGCCCCTTAGATCTAGGCATTTAAAATTACCTCAGCGTTTTTATAAAAACGCTGAAGTAATTTTTATGGATATCAACATAAATTACCTTTTTACAACAAAAAACCCAAAAAAGGTAATTTATGTTAATATCTGTAAAAATTACCTCAGCGTTTTTATAAAAACGCTGAGGTAATTTATGATAGAAATCCAAAAAAATTACCTTTGCCGACCGCCTCAGACCACAGCAACAGTCCGAATCTGCCCGTAGCTGCACATCTGCCTACACTGCCCTGCAAGCTTTGAGAAGCCCTGAGACTACCCTGGACCCAACTGCAAACTCGTGAGCACGAGAACACCTGCACTGTCCCTTGCGACCCAGGAACCCTGAAGAAGCCTCGAGGCCGGAAACTACTAGAGACCCAAAAAACCCTGCCCGCCATGCCCTGCAACCCGGAAAGTAAGTAACCCAGGAACCCAGAAGAAGCCTCGAGGACGAAAACTACTAGAGACCCTAAAGACCCTGCCCGCCATGCCCTGAAACCCGGAAAGTAAGTAACTATGTCTGCATCTATCTGCGGGCTTTGTCGACTGAAGGTAGACCTACAAGCCCTGAAGGCCACAGATTAGTAGGGACCCTGCAACCCCAGCCGCCGGTTTGAAGCCTCAATAAGTAACTACTAATCTGCGAAT